CGAAATTTCAATATTTTATTTTTGGAGACAGGGGAAATTTTTTCAGTTTTGGTCCATTATCCTAAGTATATTGCTTCGATTCTTTATTTTTTCCATAAAAGCGGAAATCTTATGCACGGTATGCATATAACGCATAGCTTCAAATTAAAATTTAATAATATACAGGGTAGTTATAATTATTCCATTTTGAAAAACTCATAAAAGGAAAACTATTGGATCAAATGTTATGAAACTTGGTAGTGTAAAGGAGGTCATTTTCCGCGAAAAAAAGAAAGTTCGAAACCTCACCACCAGAAAGGAAATGGTGCTGTATGCAATATTTTTAAAACAAACGACATATGGGTCGGAATCTAACTTAACCTTTTGTTACACGGGTTTAATATGTTGTATACCCTTAAGAAACTTTGAAGTAAGCAAATTACCATTTAAAGGCGTTACATGAGATAAAAGTCGAGTGTGCCATCCATGTAAGGGAGAAATTCGCCCATGAAAACCATGAATTAGCGATTAGAAAATGTGAGATCGCAAATCCCTCGCACAAGTGCGTACAATCTGGAAATCGTTTTCTTACAGATTGCTAATTTGTAATTTTTGAAGCCTGAATTCAGCCCTAAAACATGAAGATACCGATTCAAAACGCTTTTAATCGATTTGAGACAAAGAAATTTCTCATGTTATCTACCTACTTCCATTGCATTCGATTGCATAGCAGTTGACAGCTAGTTTCATAACTTAACCATTTTTCTCTGAATAGCAGTCGACAGTTGGACTACTGTGATTACAGCGCGGTTAGAGTAAATGTTAAAATGTTTCGTGATACATGAACTGCAGTAACGTGGCATTTTAGATACTACAATTTTTATGCAGGGCTGGGCTTCACCTGACATGTGTTGCACAGTTAGGCAACATTTCACGAATGAATGTCTTATAGGCCGACACTTCCCCTCGTTCCACCAGACCTCAACCTCTGTGACTTTAGCTATGGAGTTATCTCAAAAGCACTGTTATGGTGATAATCTAAACAATTTGGCAGAAATGAAAAATGATATACACTGACACGTCCGTAACATTCCTCCTGATATGCTAAGCACTGCTGTTGAGAATGCAGTAACAGGATTTAACTTGCTTTCGGAAAATACTGGACGCTGTATTGAACATGCTTTGTAACACGCTTCGGAAACGATTAAACACATTTTAAACCGATGTTTTCATGTCTTATTTTATTTAACAATACAGCGCCATTTTTCCTTGGTGGTGAGTTTTTGAACTCTTCCCCCCCCCACAGAAAATAAATTCCCATAACCTCCTTCACACGATTCCCATGTGTGATAACATTTGGTCCGGTAGTTTTCCTTTTATGACCATTTCAAAGTGGAACTTTCATTATAACCACCATGTAAATTAAACTTTAAAAGTTTGACAGTTTGGTTCAAGTCCCAGCTTTAAAAAATATATATACATAAATATAATTTTTATATTAATTCTTCTTAGAAAGAATGTTTTAAGAAGCTAATTTTTCTCTTGCGTTATAGACTCTATAGAAAAACATGATCTTTAACATGATTTAGATTGTTTCAGCCGATATAAGAATCAGGTCACTCGGTGGTACACAATAAACACTGCTGGACTGTTTTATTTCTTTGTCATTTAGCAATAAATCTTTTAATTAAAATATTTATCCCTTGGACTTTGCTTTAAACTTTAAAAATTAAAAAATAAAGTTAAAATGACTAAAAAATGAAAAGCTGTCTTCAGCTGAAACACAATTCATGTAATTGATATTTTTAAAAAAAATGACAAGAATGCAAAATTTATGGAAGTCTAGCAATCGAAAAATCTTAATTTTCTTGTGTGAGCACTGAAAATAACTGTAGAAGGAAAGAAGAAAATTAGGGAGAAAAGTAAGCAAAAATTTGCAGGGAAATTTGGCTGTCAGACATACCAAGATGTTTAAAAAAGTTGGATGCTTTTGAAGATACTTTCAGGATACTTCAAAGAATTTATGTGTTCAAAGAAAAAACACTTGGACGTGTACACCAGCAAATACCAACAATTGAGCTTGTGGCTAACAGAAAACACAAAAATGATATCACTGCAGATTAAAGTGAAGCGCGACTGGTTTAGACTATATGGCTGTATAAATTTAAATTACGTTATAGAACATCATATCGTATCATAAACGGAGAATCCCATGATTTCTCAGTCGAATTATTTTAAGATTCAGGAGTTTATCCAGTGATGTATATGGATGTCACCTAAGGAAAAAAGACTGTTTTTTTTCCCCTCCTGATGAAACAACGGCCGAGCGGTAAAGTCGCTGAACACTGGTAGTTCGGTCCGAGGGTGGAATCCCGCAAACAGACTGTCTGCGTGGCCGTTTTTGTGGTTTTGCCCATGTGTAACGTGTATACGAGCCAGTTTCCCTTAGAACGTCCTCCACGAAGACATCCCTCCCCTTAGGCAGATAGCCCTAGTGTCCTTTGTCATAATTAAACAAACAAAAACCTCTTGATGAAATTAGTCTTTTCTTTTATCTCATACCTTTAAAATGCTTAGCCTCTAAAGACATAAAAGCTCTGATGAAATGGATTGAATTGGATTATTAAGTTATGGCAAAGCAGGGCTATCTGCCTAAAAGAAAGGATGCCTTCGTGAAGAAATTTCTAAGGGAAACCAGCTGGCATACACGTTACGCATGAGAAAATCCACAAAACGCCCATTCAACCAGCCCGTTTACCGGGATTCGAATAGCGGAGTCAACTACCAGTGTTCAGAGACTTTTACCGCTCGGCCGTTTGTGGGCCTTTATGAAATGGAAGATTATAACTTTATTTAAAAGGATTGTCAGAAATACCAAGATGTGTCGAAAAGTTGAATGCTATTAAGATACTTGCAGAATGCCTAAAGAAAAAAAAAAAAAAAAAAAGAATAAAGCAGAATGCCTGAAGAAAAAATAAGTTTTTGCATAAAATTTAGTGTTTGTGTTTTTATTTTTTTTAATTTGAAACTTTTTAATCTTATGATATTTGATTCTTGTGATTTCAAGAATAAAATATTTGACTAAAATATGAATAACATTTTAAAAAACCAAATGTAGGATAAAATTGTGTAAAGCAATGGGCACAATGATAAAACTGTTTAAAGCAGTGTATGCAAGTCATCCTAAGTTAAAATGTCGGTTATGCATCTCTCTTATTTATATATATCTTTTCTGAACGGAACATTGAAAGGCGTGTTAAGTGTGCTTTACTGTATTTTCTCTTTTAATATATGCAGTTTTCAAATGCATCGTAGTCTGGATTACAAAATATTCTTCCAAAAGAAACACAATTCAAATAAATCAAATCAAATTCTAGAATATTTATATTAATAAATATATTTAAAATGCTCAGTTTGAATGAATAAATAGAAAATTTTAAAATAATTATCTGAAGAGACAATGCAACACTAACAATTAAAATAAAAGCCTAAAAATTTAAAAATTACGTAAAATAGTAACTTTGACTAAAAATATAGTATAAAGAAAATTAAATTTGAAACTAACTTTGAAAAAAAATAAAATAAAATAAACGATGCACATTTGATTTAAACTACACAGTTCGAATGAGTAAATAGAAATTTTTTAAACAGTTATTCGAAAGAAACTGTGCAACGTAAGCAATTAAAATAAATTCAAAAAAGAAACAAACTGCTTAAAATTAATAACAATTATAATTAAAAATATAAAATAAAGAACAATACATAAAAGAAGGAATGATTGAGTCTTTTTTCCTCTCACGCACTATGTAAAAATGGAGATGAAAATAGGTTGCCACATATTAAGAAGTTCGCCAAGTGAACTAATTTTGGCGCAAACTGAATAAAAAGCGCCAACATAAATTGTTGAATTTCTCCGTAAATTTCGCACCAAATTTTAGAAAATTTAATATTTAGGCATAATTTGAGTTGTAGAATCAAAATATGTAAAACAATTGGTATGTTATTTCAGAAAAAGTCCAATTTTGTGTCAAAATACCTATGTTAGAATAGTGCTATATATAAATCTAACATATATCCTAAGTCGCGCTTTCGAGACATGAAGAACGCAATTTGAATTTCGTGAATCGGCCCAGTAGAATAGGAGATATAGAACTGTCCCCCCCTTTTTTTTTTTTTGAGCAGTGTTCATTTACCTCTATGTAGGCTTTCTCTATGTGGTCTTTTAGCCTGTGTGTGTATGTGATTTTATTTGAATGGGTATTTTTCATGTAGTGTTTCTTTGTACGGGCTCTTATCTAGCCAGTATGAGAAACACATAGAATAGAAACAATTTACAAAAGTCAACATAAAAACACATAGCTATCAAAATAATTTTTTTGTTAACATAAAAGATGCCATAAGGCATTCAATACATATGTGTTGGGTAGAGGCAAGCGAACGTTTTTTCTTATGCGCATGCGTATGATGGCAGCTGTCTCTTCTCCCGACACATCCGTCATTCGAGCTTCGAGCGTATGGAGATGATAATATCTAACTTGCTGTGTGATGGTCAATACGATTTCCTGTGTGATCCTTTTATTCATTATACATGTAAATAAAGTGTGTTGTCCTAAATCGATGGCTTCTTTACTCTAAATATTGGCCTCTGAACAACAATATGTAATAGCTGTTATCTTGTTTTAAGTATTGTAGTGCATACAGCTCTTAAATTTATCTTGGCAAAAAATGAATTAAATACAATTTACTTAATCTAGCTGCAATTGCCTGAGATTTTAATCGATCAGAGCATCATAATTTCTTGATTTTTAGTAAATTACTTTTTTTGAAATATATACCAAAAGATCTGAAGGCATTTATGCTATGCATGCAGATTTTCATATTAAACATATATTAAGATGTATTGGTACATTTTATTCACATAAATTTGTAAATAAAAAGTTTAAAACTTGAAATACATAAAACTACAGTAACTTTAATTGCTGCTAAACAATTCATAAAATATATAAAACTGTATATATTACCTCACCATAACCACAAACAAGAACATGCTTTCCTCCGAACATGACATCTGTAGAGCGTTTTAACCTAAAATGAGAAGATATAAATAAAGAATATAAAACTTAATAAAACACCTCAATACTGAATTTTAAGAGAGAAGGTTAATGCTTCACTTATGTTGAAAATATATAATTTTTAATAAATGTGGTTAATACTGAAATAACCAGAATATATATATCTATATCTATATATATAGATATAGATATATATATAATAAATATGAAGACTATTAAAAATACAGGTTTCATTTAAAAGCTGAGCCAGAATACAGCAAATTATTCAAAGATAATCTGCCTTAGTTGAGGCATCTTTGTTACAGCTTTCTAAGATGAAGTGGCTTACATTTCACAGTTGCCACACATAGGTCGTAATTAGGTGCCACACATAGTTACCACAGACAGTTACCACACATAGGTGCCACACATAACTAATTATACAGAGAGTTGCCCCACTGTCCATATAAATAGTTACATTAAAATGAATTTCATTTTCATCTGCAAAGGATTAATGTTAATATGTACAGAAAATTGCAGAAATCCCAAGAAATTCATCTGTTCAATCACCAGAATTCGTTCTACAGGTAGAAAATGGTCAGCAAAAAATAGCCAAAAACAGATTAACTTGAATCCTAGATAAAAGCATGGGACTTTCTGTATTGAAAGCATTGAACATTTGTCCTATCAAGAATTTGGCAAGATAAGAAAAGAAGCATAAGCAGTTTGGATTCCATTCCTCAGTGCACTCTTTGATAAATTTAAGTGCGCTTAGAAACTTTGCATTAATTAATTCAAATTCAGATATTAAATATTAATATCTGTATCTGAATTAATTGATTCTAATATAATTTATATTCAATACCCAGGAAAATTAATTCAAATCTAGCTTCCTAGAACATATGAGCAACTAGCATTCAATGGTCTGTATTCAATCACAGCTGAATAAACATTTTAAATAAGCACGAAACATTATTTATAAACGTAACATTAATATATTCTTGCAATAATTTAATAGCTTGATAAAATTTTAAACTAATAACAAATAGCTGATAAATTAAAAACATTAATGTAGCATGGTGGTTGGGAAGCTGGCTGCCACTAAGCCTTTGGCCTTAGCATGAATTCCAGAGAAAATACAGATGTATGTAAGTGTGTATTTGCAGCATACGAGCACTAAAAATACCATCAAAGGGATCCTTTTTTAAAATTGGGATGGAATCGAGCAAATTCGTACTGTCAAATGCAAGATGCCCAGGACATAAGGAAACAACATGTGCAACCCTTGCACTCTTGGATTGGATAAAGTTCATGGACTTGATTTGATAATATCAGAAGGTCTGTCAGAAAATCCCAACAAACACTAATGTACTGTCAGAAAATCCCAACAAACACTAATGTACTAACTGATACAAAGGGGGGGGGAAGGCAGGAGAATTTTTTTCTTCCTCATTGTAACACTTTCAGATTTTAAGTATAAGGAAAAAATAAAGCAAATCTTTACCCATTCATTTTATTTTAAAACCATAAAAAGACTAAAACTGAAATACTAAATTTGAAATTTCAGACTTATGTAATAAATTATAATGTATTAAAATTTACTTACGCATCAAGAATACTTTCTCTGCAGCTATATAGGTTATCAAATTTAGTCTGTAAAAAAAATTACAATATATATATGTAAAATAAAAAATATGAAAGCAAACTTCTAAATTTAATTGGTTATAACCTTTTATTTTTTATTTAATTTTGGGACTTCATCTCTCTATCTTAACACTAAAACGGCACGTCGTTCTAGTGTACCGTTGATTACTTTTGTTTTATTGGAAGAAATCGTTTGGAATTTTTTGACTTTTCCTAAATAGATAACAAATATTTGTAAAAAAAATTTTCAGCATTCTAGGTTTGTTAGTTTTGAAATATTGGCATGTATTCCTAGAACGGAGGATGGGGGTCATTTTGACCCCTTTACTTTTATCCCTCTTTCTGCTTGAGGCATTGTCCCATGAAAAACATTCACTGATAAAGATTTTTTAATTGCATTCATACTATCTCTCAGAGGGATAAAAACCTGGGTGGTCTCACTACTTTGTAATATCTACATAAGTTGTTGTTCCTTTGTTTACAATTATCTATTCGTTTGAAGAAAATACTGCAAGGAAGGTAGATGCAGGGTTTTTCGTGCCTATATTTCTTTTCAGAAACAGTCTATTTAACAGATGTATTTTCCCATTTGTGAGTTCAGCTTACTTACTGTACGTGATAACAGTTAGGACAGATGTTTTCTTGGTAATCCCAAATCAGTATTTCAGTACATATAAATTCAGCTGTCAAGTTCATTATCACCTTTCCTTTACACTGTGAGAATCATATGCTAAAATATATTCCCTATCATTTTCTGATAGTCTGATTTTTCTACTTTTTTCAACTTTTACAAAATATGTCTAATAAGCGGAAAAGAGGTCTTATGAATGAAGAAATTAAAGAATTGTTGCAGGAGCTATCTGAAAATGAGTCTGACGGAGGTGAAATTGATCATTTTTCTGTAGAAACTGAAGATGAATTCCAGACACAAACTATTAGTGAATCCGAGGTCAGCGAAGTAAACAAAGAAGAACTCATCAGAAATAAACGGGCAAAAGGGGATCAGGGTATTTGCAAAACTGTTTTTACAGCTCCTGATTACACTATATGGAATTAAATAAATTCCAAAAATTCTGTCTGCGGCTATGTTCCTGCTTAATGTTCTAAAAGAAACAGCAGAACCAACATCTTTTGCAAAGAGTCGTGTTTCTGTGGACAAAGTGTCTAGTGCTTTCAAGCTTTTTAATTGATGATGATATCTTGCTGCATATAAAGAAATGTACATCCGAAGCTCATTGGCAACTTGGAAATAAAGATTGGAAGTTATATCTGGCTGAGTTAAATGCTTTTGTCGCTAAATTGTATGTTGGAGGGGTAATAGGAGCAAAGGGCTTAGATTTATATTCCTTGCAGTCTGAAGCATGGTGAATACCATTTTGCAAAGAAACTATATCAAGAGATAGATTCAAAGAAATTAAATGATTTTTTAGGTTCGATGGAAAGACAACAAGATTTACTCAATTGCAGACTGATAAATTTGCTCTTGCATCAGACATATGGAACAAATTTATTCAAAATTGCAAAACTTACTACCGGCCAGGACAAAATATTACAGTTGATGAACAATTATTCCCATCTAAAGCTAGGTGTAGATTTACACATTATATGCCTAATAAACCTGACATATTTGGAATACAATTTTATATATCTGTCGACGTTGATACTAAATACCTCTTGAATGGATTTCCTTTATCTAGGAAAAGATGAAACAGCAAATCCTTAATTACGTTTGTCTAAAATTGTTGTCATAAAATTAATGGAGCCACATCTAAACAAAGGGAGGAATATTACCACAAATAACTATTTTACTAGCATTAAATTAGCAGAAATGCTAAAATAAAAAAATACGACTATGGTTGGCACAATAAAAAAGAAGAGAAGAGAAATTCCTATATCTTTGAAAAATAAGCATAGTAATCTTTATTCGTCGACAATAGTGGAACATGATAACGATAATATCACACTTACTATCTATCAAGGCAAAAGAAACAAAAGTGTTTTTCTACTGAGCTCATTACATTCTACTGTAAAAACTGAAGACAGTCTCAAGAAGTTGCCCGATTCAATAGCATTTTACAACACAACAAAGTATGGTGTGGATATTCGTGATCAGATGTGCCAAAAATATTCAGTTAAATCGGCTCCTAGACGATAGCCTGTACATATCTTTTCCAATATTTTGGATCACGCAGCTTTGAACGCATGGATAATATATAAAAGTATAACAGGAAACACCATTAACAGGAGAGATTTTCTACTGAAATTAGAAGATATTAAGAGTGGTACATATGCTTCAAATCTACCAAGATTCTTCCTGAGTCTTCAGAAAAAAAACATGAAAAGAAAATGATATAAAAAAAAAGTTCAGAGTGCACATGGAAATGAAATATGTGCATCTTGTTCCCAGAATTGCGGAAAATGCACCTAAACATTACTAAAAAAATTTTGTATCAACAATGTATTAATTCAATATACATACTAAAAATTAACAAAAAATAGAATTGAATGAAAACTTACAGAGTCAATAAGGAAACATCAAAAAAAAAAAAAAAAACAAGAAAATGAAAAAATCAAAATAAACAATCATCTTTACAAAAGTTGAAAATGCACTGAAAAAATAAAAAATCAGTTAACTCATTAATTCCATTATAAGATCACAACATAAAGATATTAATACTAAACTTGGTAGTACAAAAAAAAAATTAAGTGTTTTTGTTTTTATTTTAGTTTTTAACATTAGTTTTAATTTGTGAATCCATTTATTTGAAATCAGTTCTTATATCAAATTAATGAGTTATTTGAGTAATTGTAGTATGATCCAATTGATCGCCATGTACTCTCTACATTTACAGTATTTTAAAAAGTCAATAAATTATCATGCAATATTAAATATAAATTATGAAATACATATTTGTGCCAATGTAAAACTGTTTTACCAATGTTATTTCAGTACTTTCATCGAAGGGTCAAAATGACCCCTTACCGCCGCCGTTCCAGTAGGTAAGATTTTCCCGCCGTTCTAGTGTTAAAGATAGCGCTATAAGTCTAAACTGTGTCATTCAAATTATACATGCGATCCTACGTGACCCTGAATGTAGATGCCTCTTGCCCAGTCAAACAATTGTAAACCAAAGACAAAAAGTCTATAAAGAAGCATTCAGAGGAAGAAGGGAGGGAGTCAAAAGTTTCTTTTAACTCAAACTGAAACTTTTGAATCTGTCCCTTCTTCCTCTGAATGTGTCTTGATGTGTCACTTTTTTCATTTTAGCTTCTCTCTGTGCCCTGCAAGGACGTAATTTTGATGTGCTCTCTTTCTATCGCAACAGTTATAAAAAATGTACTGGAAATAGGCACAAGTGAATTGTTACCACAAATGTAAATTTAAATAAAAAAAGGGAATTTAATCCAGCTTGACTCAATCCTCTTTAATATGGATCAAGTTTCTTCACTACACATCTATTACACCACCACAAAGTTCCAAAACATTTCATTTATTTTATATTATTATATCACACACACACACACACACACACACATATGAGTGACTTTCAGCAAAAGGCTGAATTATTAGTTATAAAGCAGCAAAATAAGAATTTCATAAATAGGATCTTTCAGTGAGAATGTAATAATAAAAAGACTCATTTGTGAACATGTTTATTTTTTATACTATTATTAATTTGGATTATTTAATACTATTATATAATTATGGATTTTTTCAAGATGTATAAATGTATACTGAACATTTAAAATAACCACTAATAGCATTTTGCACTTTAATCACAGATGAATGGAAATAAAAAATATATATATTTGAAAAGTGGAGAATAAGAAATTTTGTATTTTTCACATCTGACAATTGTAAATTTAAAAATTATATTGAAAAGTAATTAAACACAACTCGTAATATGAACAAATGCATTTCAACCACAAGTAATCTTTATCTATTATATTAATTTTTGACATGTACAATATATTCTTTTTTTGCTTAGTAGGAAAAACATTGTCTTCCCATAAAAACTCTTCATTCCAAGGCAGCATTTCATAGGAAAAACAGCACCAGGAAGACTTTTTTCTAGGTAATAAATACAAATAAATAGTACAGAGCTAGTTGGTGATGAGGTACTGAATGTGATAATTTTACTTGTATTTAAAAGTCTGCAATTACATTTAAAATATAATTACAAAATTGAATATAAAGGTGTTCAGGACTTCCCACAGGAGTTCCAACTGTATATGAAAGTGAATTACACAAGATAACCTATCACAACATTAATTTAGGGTGTTGTTAGTTTTAAAAAAAACTGGGACTATTCAATTGGTTTAGTAGGCAATTTTATTTTAGTGCTTTTTTAATCTCTTAATTGTTTAATGGCACTGTACACCAAATCTTTTGTTTTTTTTTTATAGCATAAGAGAGTTTTTATTACAAATTTGCCTTTTTTCTACTATAGTCAAATAAAGATACATAATCTATTTTTCAAGAAATAATAATATTTGCAAAAACAAAGTATTAAGAAAAATCTCCAAACCATTGCAAAATTAAAGATAGAAAGAGAATCGAAAAAATTAGTCTCAATATTTTAAAAAACTGGCCCTGATTTTTTTTAAAACTACCTGATGCACTGTTGCAATGTGATTATGATGTTCTTTCTCTTCTGAAAGTCTTGATTTTCCATGCACTTGTCCATTGAAACTTTTTCTTCTAAGTGAGTTGATGCTTTGTCCTTTTTTCAACCTCTCTAACGTTCTGACGATCGTCTTGGGTTTCTATTTACAATGATTGGACCCATTTGTTTAAATCATGACACTGTTGATCAGTTATTAAAACTTTAATGGAAAGAGTTTTTTTTTTATTTTTATACTTTTATTTGGTTTTTTTTTATCTTTTTTTTAAAATAACCACTGATAGCGCACTTTTCCACATTTTTTTTTTTCACATCTTTTGTTTTTTTCACTCTGACTTTTTCTTTATTATTTGATTTTTTACATGTACAATATTCTTGTTTTTATGTTTTTTTGCATTTCAACCACTTTTTTTCTTTTGTTTTTTTTTTTTGTATATTCTTTTTTTGTGGGTGTTTTTTTGTTGGGTTTTTATTGTAAAAAAAAAAAAGCTTAACTGGGACTGTGATAAATACAACACCACATAGATTGCCTTTTTTGCTATAAGGAGTATATATCCTGTATCACAGCTACAAAACGTACTCCCAAACTCTTAAAAGTTGGTAAATTTTTATAGCAGATAAGAGAGTATTTTTATTACAATACTAAATAATCATTAATGTACATTTTTTTCAATGTTATTACTAAAAATAAAATAAAATATATTTTTCAGAACATGAATAATTTATTGCAATAAAAAATATATAAATAAAACCAATAAAAAATTAATCCTGAAGCAGAGAGAAATACCATGGTTGCAGATTATTATCGAAACAGTGGATTGTTGGCAGCATTTGTCCATGAAATGAGTGAGTGGGATTTCTCCTTCTTAACTAGTTGAAACAGAACATCAAAAAACTTTAATGGAGGTATTTACATAAAATGTAGGGAAGAGCTTAATGATACCTATAAGACTGTTGTAAAGTATATTTGATGCAACAATAGATAATGGTTCCCATAATGCCATTGCAGAGGTTTAACCCCCCCCCCCAAAAAAAAAAAAAAAAAAAAAAAAAAAAAACCACAGAGAAAATTTAAGCTGGGATAATAGGTAAATTTGAAATTTTTCTTGAAATAGTCATGTTATTAAGAAAATGCATTGCATGCATAAATTGCTTTTTGTATAGCAAAGTGATGCTGTATTTTAGTGGGTTGCCTCATTTGTGATGTCTTAACATTTTAAAGTTAATAATCACTTAAATTGTAAATGATTTTATTACTAAGTTACACCTATTCTGTAACTAGTTCTCTATTCTTAAATGGATTATGTGAAACATCTACAAATTTACATCTGTGGTATCACTGAGAAACAATCTACAGTTGAGATATATAAGTGTATGGGATAAGAAACATTTTTAAATAATTACACTAATGGTTCAAACATTAAAATTATCAGTAATATATCTAGTTGGAATTAAAATATAAATTATCAAGAAGTATGTATCATTTTTAAATCACTTAATTTATTAAGGAATTTAATGTTCAAATTTCAAAGTTAAATTAAACACTTTATCTGTAAAATGGCAACATCTCAAAGAACAGTTTTTTTTTTTTTTTTTTTTTTTTTTTCAGTTTCATGTTGTGGTAGTATACATACTATAGAGTACCACAAAAAATGGGAAGTCATGTACATTTCTAATGTAGAAAAGCCTTGGACATTAAAAATGTACCCCTCATCATTATAACATATAAGATGCAACCTAAACAAGTATCTACTCAGGGATCAACCTTAATAAGTGTATGGAGGATAAAAACCGAAAATGGAATGAAAATATTATTAATATCTAAGATGATGGAGCATATTTCTCTGGGTAGAAATATTACATATGTGATGGATGATGGAACATGATAGAAACCTTGAAATGAAATTGTATTAGAATATATAGCAAATTAGATTTTATATTATTTATACAAATACCTTCTGAAAAGGTTTTTGTTTCCTTTGTATTAAAAGTTTAGGATCACATACTCGGGGACCACCTAATTTTTTAGTGTTGTTTAAATGACAATTTGATTTAAAGTATACATGCTTTGCTCTTTAATTTGTAATTGCTTTAGAATGTCGGATTAACATATAATGTTATTTGGCCAATTTGATTTTTTGAGTGGTCAATTTGGCACAACGTAATGTTTTATTCTTTTTCCCAAGTGTTTCGAATCCATTTATTTATTTATTTATTTTTTAAAAGGGGAAAATTCTGGATACACTTGAGATTCGATTTTTCGGTTTTAAGAGAATTTTTAATGTCTTAAAAGAAAATTTAATTGAATCTTTTTTCGGTTTTTGATCTCAAATGAACTAGAAGAATGAAGCATGCATTTGAAACATATTAATCGACTTTTATGGAACTTTTAAATCATTTTCCCCCGAGTCCTTATTTAGTTTTTCAGTAAAAGGAGATTAATTTTTATATTTTTTTTTTTCCTTTTTACATTTTTAATTTTCGAGTTTGTTCTACTGATGAATTCTTATTTTAATTTTAATATGTTTAGATACAGCATTAAACCTCTTATCCACAGTTGCAAATCATTAATATTGTTGAGGAATTGCCTTGCTTTGATACCAATTTAATTTTAACTTTTAATGCTTTAATTTTAATTTACTTCAATCCTGGTGCTATAGTGCAGGAGTGGTGAAATTTTTTTTTTTTTAATTTTTGGCCTACTACTACGTTTTCTTTTGTGTGTAATATATATATATATATATGCAGACCAAACATAAAAAGCACAACTTCACAGAGGAAAAAAAAATTATATATCAATAAATCATGGAATGACGATATTTTTCTAGCTTAAAAATATTAAAATATAAGTAATAGAAATACATTAAAAAATTAATCTAGAAATTCAATATTTCAAAACACATAGTATAAGTATTGAAATTAATATAATTATGAAAAAAAAAAACAAGAAAGATTTTGATAGCTACATACTTTTGTTACAGAATCATTTACATTCATTGCAGGAACTGTAAGTTTCCCTGATTTTGATAACTGATAAAGTCTGTGAACGCCAGTCACACTTTCCTCTACTATGCCTTTAATTCCACGAAACATTGCTGGATATTTTTTTAGCATTAAATGAGTAGCATCTCCCCCATCATCTAAAATCTAGACAAGCAAAAATATTTTTCATAAATTAAGAAACCTACAAAGTTTCACTTTTACAACCTTTTTCAAAGAAATTCACTTATACACTTTTTTTTCCATATGCTTGCTTAAGGCAAAATATGATTAAATTTTAATTTTAATTAAATTATTACTAATTTCACAAAAGCATTTCAAATTTACTTTTCATTAACAAGATTTCAATTTTTACATTTTTTAATACTATACACTGAAAACATGCATCAAGGGTTTTATATATACATATATTTGTACATATAAATGATGGCAATAAAAGAAAGAATGATGAAGAAATGCACCTTTACTTAAAAGTTATCTACTCATTATCTGTAACAGTGATCTGAAACTGGTGGTCTGCGGGCTGCATTCGACTCTTGAAGCAAATTTATGCAACCCTCAAATATATTTCCTATAAATTAATTAGCATTATTATGACAAAATTTGGTGTGTGTGTGTGTGTGTTTGGTGTACAATTCCATGTTATTTTCATTCTCAAAAACACTCTTTGGAAAATAAGGAAATGGAGCTATTTAACTTACAATGTGATATAAATCTTATTCAAAAATTTTAATACAAATTTGGTTAACTTTTATTAGTACTTATCAAATGATAAATACAATAAATTACTAATTTTTGCAATAAGAATGATCACTTTGTTTGGGAATATACATTTACATATGAACAGCTTTCTTCCATGGTAGAAAATTAATAAGTCTACAAAAAAAAAAAAAAAAAAAAAAAAAAAAAAAAAAATTACAGATTGCTGATGAGTATCTGCAGTTTGTGATGAAGTTTCCAGTAATTTTCCTCAGAGATTACAAACTTCATGAAGATCAAAATGCCATGAAGTGTCATAGCAGAAATGAGTAATAAGTAACAAAGAAGTTTATAATTATTCACATAAAAATATATACTTTTCCTGTATGCATCTTAGAAAAATGTAATAAATAAAATAAAAAAGTTGACATTATTTATTCTCCAGTTTTATCGTTCTTAGGAAGTTTTCAAATATTTCTTTTAAGTTAAAAGTAAGTTATTAGTGGTTACCTCTGTAGCGTTATCTCAATGTGCGTCAGTCTGAAAATTTTGACATTTAGCTGTCAAAAGATTTACAAAGTGTGGCCAACAGAAATTTCTAGCAGATTTCAGACAGAAAGTAAGTAATAATTAGAACTTTTTCCTTTGTGCCATTTATATATATACATTCTTTTACAAAAAAAATCGGAGCACCATGAAGGAAGTGGTTGTTTTTGATGAAACTGAATATGTGTACAGCTCATACACAGATAATAAAATGATTAACCCTTTGATGGTTATGAACGAGTTCAGCTCGCAATCAAATCGTGCTACATAATGCGCGCAAACGAGTTCCACTCGGGAGCAAGATTTTGACCGAAATGGTTAGTAACGAGCACTACTCGCATAGTGAAATTTTTTCCCAATGCGCGCTGATGAGCTGACTTCATTCGCCATTATTATTCTGCACTGACTGTGTTTCAAACAAATGCTACTCGTGAAATTTAGTTAGTTTTACTGTCTACAGATGGCATTACGAGTTCCATGAATTTCTTTGCATAATGAAAGTGGATTCTTTTTTGACCTTGTTCATTTTATACGTATTTTGGTGCGGTTTTTAGGGTGTTTGTACAGTAAAATGGCTCAAAAGCGAAAGTTAGATAGGTATGATGATGATTATGATTGTGATACAGAAAACTTATCAAGTTTTGAATCTGATGAAGACTTTGTTCACAGTATTTCAAGCTCAGAAGAGGATTCAAGCGATGAGGAAGATCTTTCGAGTGTTCGACAATGGGGTATAATTGATTCAAGTTCTTACGCTCCTAGCCGATTTAGTTTTACTGATGATGTAGGCATGAAAGCTTGCATGACAAATATTTCTGAAATTTTCTATTAGAAAGAACCTACTAGACGATGTGTGGTATGTTGCAGCAAAAATGATGCTAATGGAAAAAGAATTCGCCGTGAAACACGTACGTATTGCAAAGACCGTAATGCCCCATTATGTGTAATTCCATGTTTTAAAGTATATCACACACAAAAAGATTTTTAGGTAATTACTGTATTTATACTGTGCTTCATAAAGTATTACATTAGTTGTATTTATTTAGTCCTTTCAATTTAATATTTGTCTTATATTTATAATTAACTATTATTATTTATATAATTGGTTAATCATTTATAATTTACTGTTTAATAATTATTTTAAAGTACGTAAAAACTGTTATTTATGTACTACAAATACTTTAAGAAATTTTTAAAACGCGTGAGGCGAGCTATCTACGGCATCGCCAGAGAAAGGTGACATTTTCGGAAGAATGGCGGGGGAAAACAGCTGCCACTTTCAACTACTGTTTACTCCTAATGCTGCGCGAATTAAGTAAACAGAAACTGCTCATTTCCATAACCGTCAAAGGGTTAAACAATCAAAGTCATAGTACCTGTTCACGGCTCACAATCACCCACCCAGTGTTCAAATTAGTAGTTGGTCAAACCGCCCCTGGCGGCAATGCATGCTTGAATTCATCAAGGTAAGGAGTGGTAGAGGTTCATAATGTCATCCTGCGACACATTCTGCCAGGCATTCATCAGTTGTCTCTCCAGATATGCGATATTTTGTGGTGCCCGAATCTAGCGGCCTATCATGTTCCAGACGATTGGTGAAAGGTCTGGTTACCTTGCTGACCAAGGAAGAGTATCAACTGCACGGAGACAGTCCAGAGATATGCGAGCGGTATGTAGCCTGGTATTACCTTGTTGGAAAATGGCCCCAGGATGATACCATTGGGGTGGTTCGGACCTGCCGGACAATCATCCTGTCTCGCCTCCCATTTGTGCTAATTGGCCTTCCAGAGCCTTTATTTAATCGGTAATTTCTTTGTAGCAACCATTGCTGCCAACATCTTTGCACCGCAGTGTCTGTACGCTGCAGGTGGCAGCCTATTGATTGGTATGACCCCCCAGCATCACTCAGTCCTACATTGCAACAACGTTCAAAATCATTTAGTTGTGTGTAAGGTCTTCGATATTGTTGTAATGGCATCTTTAGTTGTTTCTTTACAGATTCACTATGGCAGCAACAAAAAAGATAAATTTTACGCTTCTGTTACTGGTTTTATGCTTTGTGAATTGTGCACTAGAAATGTGTGCTATGACTGCAATTCCTGTTCATTTGCATGTTTGATCAAAATGTTTTTGCATACCAAATTTTGTCACGATCGCAAAAGTCCTTGGTGCTTCGATTTTTTTGCAAAAGTGTGTGTTTATATATATATATATATATTTGTTTTGATAAATTGTATTTTTTATTGAGTTAAAAACATATGCTTTTGATTTATATGGCAGAGTATTTTCATATGGCAAAAATATATTTGTTCCAGGTGACAGCAGGTAGCCAACCCATGTATTAAATTCTTGTTAGTTTTAGTTAATAAAATCATGCACATAATTTTATTTATTTTTATGATGTTATGAGTATACATTTGTGTTATAGAAGTTGTTCGAAATGATGCCTATTTGCTCGCAGTGATTCCTGGCATCTTTTCCTGTTTCAAATGTAATAATTTAACTCTGTAGAAACACCCATTTCCTGCGAGACATGGTGTAGAGATTTCATTGGAGTATGCTGAAATAGTTCTTTATTTTCTACAATTTTCTCTTTTATTAGAACTCTCCCCCCTTAGGAATTCTGTCATTGAATAACCTTGTTTCCATTTATCTAACAACAAGATAAATTCTAGATAGATTCTCACACTATTCCTATGAGGAACTGGAATGCCATGGAATTTTTCTATGAATTGACTGCACACTTATCTACAAGAATCTGTTTTTATGTAAGTGTCATATGCACAATTTTTTTTACAAGTGTTAAATTTGGTGGAGCATTGCACACATAATAATAAGTATTGTAAGACAACATCTGGAACAACTTTAAGCTAAAGCCAAACTAATCCCCATACAAATTGAAGTAAAATTGGACAGAATGACACCATCTACTGGCACCGCCCTCCTACTGTTCTCAATCCTTATGCATTGGCTGGCACAAAGATGTTTGAAACACACTGTATAATACAGTTGTTATCATAAAATTAGCAAAGCAACAAACTTTTATGACATACATTTAGTCAAAAACTAAATGAATTTCCAAAGCAAGCAGGCATAGATCCCTCTTTATCAGCAGCAGAGAAATCTGAAGGCTGGAAAGCAGTGGATGCAACTGTTGTTTTATATTCCTATATTTGTTTCTCCATTTAATGCGATTGCTGGATTCTCTCTTTTTTGAAGTGGATTACACTACCTTCTAATTCCCTTTACTACTGTAGTGTATAAATATGCTCATTGCAACCACTGCTTTCCAGTATTGCAGATGTCTTTGCTTCTGATGAAAAAGACCTGCACCTGTTTCCTCTTAAAATTGATTGAGTTCTTGATTAAATCTATGCCAAACACAAGGTTGTTGCTTTAGTAATTTTATGTTTCCCTTTAGTGTGTTTTTCTTCTATTTTGACAATTGTTATCATTCTCTATAACTGTCGTCCAATATTTTACAAGTTTATGCCTTCTTTTTTTTTCTTAGAAAATGCATTTTTCCCTCTGCAAAGAAACTGAAATTTCTAACAACTTCCATGGAATCAAATTTATCAAAATATATGAAAATCTGAAGGAGAAACAGCTCGAAAATACAGAGGTTACTGGACAATTTACTATTTCTTAATTATTAAATCTTTTTTACTGCATTGCTTGAACAATATGCTATTTGGCATTTTTATGATAGATGATGAGGTCCTTTAGAAGAGCTGAAATTGGATGTTTTTAGTGAACTTCCATAATGAATTTGGTGAGCTACATAGAGAACTTGTTCACTGTGATTGTTTTGACAGATGGCAGAAGTTGAAGAAAATGTTTCACCTAAAAAGCAACTAAACAGACAACAACTTAATTAAATGAAAGTCAGCTATTATAAATGAGAGCTTGAAAGGCACCTCATAGATTCTGCAACTACACTTGCTTCTTTTTAGCTTCTTTTCAATCGCACAGTCTTCTACAAGATCTAATTTTTGTTAATTGCTATAACTCATTTTAAATGTATGCTACCGGCCATTAAAATTGCAACACCATGAAGGAAAGCAAATACAAAAAAGATATATATTGCATGTCAACAGGATGGCATGAAGACAAAATGATTGAATTTGTAGGCATTTTGGAGGTTTACAGGAATGCGAAATTAGTAGAAACTGCTGCCAACCCTGGCAGCTAGAACGACCCTTATAACATTAGGCATGGAGTCAAAACTGAGCTTGGATGACAGAAAAGGGTGGCTCATTCCATGCTGCTCCAAGTGTATGCCACACTTCATCAACCGTAATTGCTGAGAGACTGGATGGCGGGCAAGTCTTTTTGCAATTAGATTTGACATTTATAGGCTATTTTCTGCTCTCAAATCTATAATCTTATTTTAAATGTCACTATTTTAAGAATATTTCAGAACTTTATGAAAATTATTGATTAACATGAAAGCATTCAGACACTATAGGAGGAGTAATTTTGCAGTTTAAATCCATGAAAACATCAAGAAAGATGCTCAGAAATGTACAGTATTAAAACAAATGTACATTAGAAGGTCACATAATCACTTCTTGCTTCAATGTTTTACAACATGAATTTATTTTTATTTATTTATTTATTTATTTATTTATTATGAATCAACACTGTGATATGCATATATTTGTAAAACTTCGGATAAAAACTTTGGAAACATATTGCATACACTAATAATTTTGGAATAAACCCTATAAATATATGGTTTAACATAAAAGCAGTTTCACATTTGGAATAGTTTCTTCTGTAAATAATAAACACAGTAACTGACCATGTTTGGTTGCCAGCTATCAGAATGAATACATTTGTCTATACACCACCAAAAGTCTTCTTCAGATTCCCCTCGCCATGCATAAACTGGAACACCTATAAAATAAATTAACAAATAAAAGATCTACTTATTTTATCTTTATAAGCACAATGGAGCAAATACTAGTGAAAAGGTACTATTCCTGTTATCTGGATCAGATTCAGATATAGCCAAAAGCTGAAGATCTGGTGGAAATTTTGAAGCATAAAAATAGTTACCAAAATATTTATACGATTATGTTAAAGAAAAATCTAAGGGGAAAAAGTAACATAACAGAAATTCATAAAATTAGAAATTTTTAATGTAAATTAAGCAATTTGCCAAAAAAAATCAGAAACCTTTTTTTTTTTTTTTTTTGGTTAGTGAATGAAGATTATAAAGAGGCATGAAACTGTAGATATATTTTAAAATGACTGAAAACATTTGCATTTTAGGTTACTTTGCCACCACATAAACCTCAATTAAATAAGAACCTAACTGCTTACAGTCAGTGCCTCATTGACGTTTATTTCAGCATTTCACATTTCCATATAACCTTTAATAGTTTGCATATGACAACCAGTATCGAGATAGATAAAAGTACATTTATGGTTAATGCTCAAATCTGGCCTCTCTTAATTCTTCACTGTTATAATAAAATTACATTTATGGTTAATGTTCAAATCTGGCCTCTCTTAATTCTTCATTGTTATAACTTTTCCAACAGTACGAGTATAGTATAGTGCTACCAATAATATCTTTTCTATAACTTTAAGCTATGTTCTGGCAGAGTTAGACACAGCAATTAAAAAACATTCTTTTATTTCTTAGCAAATCTTGCTCCATACCAACTGGGAAAGAACATGGAGATAGGAAAGATTTGTTCCTACCTCCAAGAGCCGGAATGATATGACCAATGTTAGTTATCAACTTCGACAATATCAGTGCCACCTATTTTATCTGATGGTCTAAACATTAATGCATGGCCACCAACTTCCCTTATATAACTGTTTCAGTCTATAATAAATAGTTCAATGATTTATATCAAGTTGATACTGACAAAATTCAAGGGCCACCATACATAAATGATATGAACTGCCATTAAGAAACTGATTCTAAATCCTTCAAACCAATTTTGAAAATGCAATCCTTCCCTTCCTCCCAGCACATCATATTTTCACATCTCCATTTTTCTGCTTTCTTTGAATTGAAGTAAAACTTCATTTTATGGTTGTTCATGCATTTTCTTTCAGAGTGAATAATTTTCATTCCTAAGGAAATTGCATGGAAGATAAATTTTTATATCTATGGTAAATACAATAATTATAAAGATACAAATGACTGTTACATCTTTAAAATTTATATTCTCGCTTTCAACTTTGAAAAGGCATTCTTTTACTTTTTTCAAGAAGTAAACATTGTAACAACTTTAAACAGCAGCAACTTCATATGAACCAATCTCTGGACAAGTTTTTCAAAACATCTAGTGATGACTTCTGTCTTGATAACAGAACAGTACTGTGAAAACATATAATATATTATTAGACATAATTACTGCATTTTGCTTTTATCAACAGTGGCTTTCAAACTTATTTATGCTTTAACTGGTCTGCCCCCATACAAAAAGGGCAATGTTGAAAACACACATTTCATAACTTTGTAGATTACAGTAGTATCTCCTGTAAGGGAAAATTCTGTTGGTCCTGGTCCCTTTGAATAGGGACTTTGGCCAACAGAATTGTATGCCCGTTGAATAGGGACCTTGATATATTTACTTTTTATTAAGAGATACTCTATTTTAAGGGGTACTGAAAAAAAGTTTCAAAAATAAGCAGAGGTACATAAATAAATAAAAATAGAAATACTCTTTGTCAGCAATTGTTTGAGGTTTCGAAGGCAAATGCTCCATGAAAGATAGTTTTGTGACAATGCAACAATAAAATGAGAAATTAATCCCTCTCATTTGGAAACTGTTTTTCAGTGAAGATAAGTGTGTGTGTGTATGTGATTATGGCAAAGCCTCGAGGGCTATCTGCCTAAGAGGAGGGATGCCTTCTTGGAAGACTTTCTAAGGGAAACTGGCTCGTATACACGTTACACATGGGGAAAACCACGAAAACGCCCCATGCAGCCAGCCCGTTCGCGGGATTCGAACCTCGGACCGAACTACCAGTGTTCAGCGACTTTACCGCTCGGCCGCTGGTGGGCCATCAGTGAAGATAAGGAGAACAATACATTGAGGAAAAGAAAGTTATAGTGCAATCAAAAGGATATTTCATATTCATAGAATTCAAAATCCAAATATCTTTGCTATAGCTCTCAGTAGGGTGAGGAAACAATCCAAGACTGGAACCAATGGTAAAGAAAAGGTGGTGAGATAACTGGACCATCTGTCAAGGCACAGAGTTCTCACAATGTGACTGGAATAAAAATTTAGTTCTTGCTAGAACTGAGGTCCAAAAGAAGTGTTATTTTGAACTTGTGTGTTTTTTACTTATGTTATATAGCATGGCAAAGAAAAGGATTAAAATTAAAACAGAAAGTTGATGTAAGTCATATAGCAGAAATTGAAAAGCTTAATTTGAGGGATTTAGGGCAGAGGAATAAGTAAAAACATTATGGATTACTAATTCAAATGAATGAAATTGATACAGTAGTGTTCAGTTGGTTCTGTTCTGTAACAGCAAACAGTATTCCCGTAAGTGGAGTATCACTGCATGAAAAGACAGCAGAAGTTCTGGAAAGTCATGGACTACAGAACCTCAGATCATTAAATGGTTGATTAGACAAATTTAAGCAAAGTCATAATATTACAATAACAAAATTTACAAACATTATGTTGATTCTTGTTGCTTAACTGCTCCAGTAACATTACTTTCAAGACTATTTGTGAGTAAAAAAAATAAAATAAAAGGATATATGCAACATTTTATAGACTTGATAAAAAAAAGCTAAATGCAATTTGTGAAGGATTAGAGCTATAAACATCTACCGTGCAGATGAAACTGTATGTTTCAAAGGAGAAAATGCTCTGGTGATGAAAGCTCTAAGGAACATGTATGCTGCTGTGTTGTAACATGGATAGAGAGTTTCAGCAACCATTTGTAACTGGAAAGGCCAAAAAAACAAAGATACTTACAATGACGAAATCCAAAAGCTTAATGGGCCCATTAATATCAGAATAAAAAGTCATGGATGATGAAAAAACATAATGTCAAAATGGTTGATTGCACTTGATGACCTTCTAGAAAAAATAGATAGATTCTGCCATTTCTTGAGAATTCACCCGCCCACTTATCAAATGTAAAACTGAAATCTGTGGAATTAGTGTTTTTCCCATCAAATGCAATATCAGTGTTACAGCCTTCATACCAAGGCACAATTAGACACTTCATACCAAGGCACAATTAGACCTCTTTTTCATTACAACGAGGTGCATGCACCTTGTTGTAATGAAATCTTGAAGTAGCAAAGATCAGAAACAGCAATCAGTTCGCAAAATGTATCAATGTATTGAATGCCATTCAGTGGATAACCAAGGCTGTTAAATCCTTATCACAAAGTTGCGTTAAGCACTACTTTAAGAAAGCAGGATTTGAAATTCCAGTTTTGAGTACTCATAATGAAAATATTACTGATGAAAATTAATTGTTTGAACTTGCCAGTTCTCAAATATGAAAATATTTAGAAACTAATGAAAACTTGTGTACTGAATACACAAATGATGGCAAAAAGAATCTTTTATTTCAACTGCAGCTCATGATGCAAGCTTTAACAAAAAAATCGCTTGAAAAGCAATAAGGAAGACGAAGAATAGTCAGACAAAAAGTGTGACATAAAAAACTATACAGATGCCTTAAAATACATCTCCCAATTTAAAAAATATTCATCATAACTGTTGTTACAGTGAAGGACTTGAGATCATAGGTAACTTTAATATCCATGTGGAAGAAAAAATGCTTGCAGTGCACAGACTTTCAAACAAACCCATGTAATGGATTATTATAAACAAAACGGATTAACCATAAACCACTGAACAGATTAGCAATAAATTTCTTAAAGTACAAAGCTATATTGTTAATTTCATTAATTTTTGATATAACTGAACTTTTTTAATTAAGACTTTTCAATTTTCATTAACTTCAAATTCAAAAAATACCTGTGACTATGTTACTTCTTTATATATCATTTATTTAAAACTTGATACAAGCTGAATTTCTAATAAAATTACATTATTTTAGTATGTATCCTCCTGAAGAAAAGATACCTTTGTTTAAGGGAAAAATGTCTGGTAGACCATACATTTTTCCCTTAAACCTCTTTTTAGAGGTCTGGGTACCCCTTATTGGGAGCGACTACTGAACGTGTAATATCATTTACAGATGACAGCTATTTTAATTAAAATTTGCTTCATCTACTTATAGTCATATAGTTCCTTACTACTCATCAAGAAAACTTAAATAATATTTATTTATGATAAACCTATTCTATGTAATTCACATTTATAAGAAGTCACTATATTAGTGCAACTCATCAGTAACAAAAATCAGCTCTATCAGTTCCATCACTGAAAAATTACACCAATCTGAAATATATCCTGTTAATACCAGAATCAAAAGAAATTTAAATAATCCAGTTTAAATAAGCTTTACTCTTTTTTTTTATATTTTAACTTTACATAATTACAGTATAAAAAATTATATGCTTCTTTCCTTCTCCCTCTTTGAAAAAAAAATTTTTAATTTGATTTTAAGGACACAGAAATTCTTTTTTATTGAATATGAACTTTGTAGTTTTAAATTTTAGAAAACTCAGTTTTAAAGTTTAGGGGGACGGCGCGGCGCGCAATGAACTGGAAGTTGATCTGTCAGCACTATCCTTATCTTCAGGGCAGATGTTTTTATTATGTTATTCGGCTTATAATTCCTCACTAAATGTAGTATTTCATCTCGATGTACTCCATCTTTGCTATGATTTAAATCAAATTCCTCGTCATTATAAATATCACGAATACACATCAAATAGTTTTCTGGTTGCAATTTTCTAATTTTGACTATGCGTAATGTATGCTTTATGCATGTGCGCGTTGAAGAAATGTTTAATAAAGTAAACAAATAAATATTAAGCTTTTTTTTTTTTTTTTTTTTTTTTTTTTTTTTGTAAATTTTGATACCTTTTAGATCATAATTGCTCTTTATTTCATAAATTATGGTTTCATATGTTTAATTTTATAATTTCTGCATGCCATCTTACCAGATATAAACTGATGATCTATAATCCGGAATCGCCAAAGTCCCGACGAGTCCGGATTAAAGACTTTTGACTGTATTTCTTTTAATAAGAATAAATTTTATTAACCTATTATCAGATTTGTGCATTCAATCTATTATGAACCCGTATGCATATAACAATATAAATTTTAAAGAATTATATGACACAGATGAAAATTAATGATAAGTTTATAATCTTACATTGTAATGCAACAGTGTTCACTTTTATACATACCTCCTTCAGCAACAGCAGCAGCTACTTCATTCTAAAATGAGACAGAGATTTCATATGGCATAAAACATTTCAAAGTACATCAAGGAAAAGCTTAGAATAATAGTGGACACACAGTGGAATAGATTGCAACTTCCACAATATACTACACTAATGTATGAAATAAAATATACATAAATAGATTTCCTTACTTGAGTGGAGTATATATTACAAGCAGCCCACCGAATGCTTGCTCCTAATGCTATCAACGTCTCTATTAAAACCTAAAATATGAAACAGTAGCACATTTACAATACAAATTGTATACATTATCATATTTTCACTAGTTAATTAAAAAAAATATGAAGATTGTTACACAAAAAGATATACAGTCTTTTGCAAATTACAACGAATGTCTGAAAAAACTTGTTGCTCAAACATATTTGTTGTGATTATTACATATTAACTACATTTAATGATATTTCCTATATTAATGATATTCCTTATAAGGAATATTTTAAACAATATTAATACATTTCAATCATTAGTAACATGCTCTTTGGCTTTTAATAAAGTCTGGATTATTTTGTTTTTTTCTGCAATAAAAACTTTACAATCTGTTATAGATCTTTGTCATAGTCCCATTTCTCTGGTTTCTTTAAATTAGTTTATCTATTTTTGCAACCAACTTCTTCTTCTTCTCCTGTTTTAAAAATTATTTTATGTTTCTTCTAAGTAGTTCCAGACCGAGCTAACACATCAATAGATGGCGCCAGCAGCTTAACTCCTATCCAGCCATTCTTATATTATCTTATCTAATCACTATGTCTTATCTTGTTCATTTGCGGTTTGGCAGCTGAGGATGATGGTTCGGTAAAGCCATCGAAACTAGTCCTGTAAAAATTTGCAAATATAACGCTGATTTCTGTTGTTTGACTTCTAAATTAATGCAGTCATATTTTCCTCTACAATGGTTTGTTTTATAAATATACATAAAAATAAAAATTAACTAAAAAGTATTTTCTGATGCACAAACCTTTTTCATTATATCATTGCTTGCATTATTCCCTCAAAATTATTTTCCACGAATAAATTTTCTTTTAAAATACAATAAGATTAAAAGAATTAATAATACCAAAAAAGATAGCATCAGCTGAATTCAGACTGTTTACTTCTCATTTCAAATGTTGCACTTTCATATAACCAGTATTCTCAGTGGTTACAGCAAATAGATTATCTTAAGTCATATGAAAATATTCAGAAATTCAAGGCCAGTTCTTTTGATTGTTTTTGAATAATGCATGCTAGATATTCAAAAACATGTTTGCTTAAGGTTCCCACAACCAGAGCAAAACTCATTTCAATCAAAATTGTATGTCAGTCAGGGTACAAATGAACTCATTCATTCCCAAACATTTTCCTTTAATTTTTGCATTTTCCCTTCATTTTTTAATGTGTTTAAAGAATTTAGAAGCCAATACTATCTAGTTTGTTAGCAGCATGTACAATAATTTGAAAGATTCTCCTACTTCATAAAACTTGAAATACAGATTTAAAAAAAATTAATGGGTAAAATGATATAAAACAAGAAATAAAAATAATTAATACATACAGCAGTCTGAGCGTTTATGTGAGTGCAGCATATGATTTTAGCTCCTTTTAAGGGCTTTTCCCCATTAGCTCTTTGCCTCAAAGCAACAATGCCAGGCATCTCTAGGAATGAAAAAAAGATATACATGAATACCAATGAAAATAAAGAGAATATAATTATAAATTTCTAAAAATTATGTTGCAATCCATCGAATACGCATTCATGTTAATTTGTGGTGGGGCCTTCTAGAGAAGATAATTGAAAACGCGGCAATTTCCATCAAGTAGCATCGAAATGCAGACCTTTCAATTCGCCTCCGAGTTTTGAATCTGAAAAGCTCTAAATACATCCCGCATTTTCTGTGAGCAAGCACGTACATACAGAAAATTGATTAAAAAATTTAAAGTAGACGTAAAGCCGGCGCCTGATGCAGCCGTAACGGGCAGCAAAATTTTGAAAATTTAGGAAGGAATCGGTAGGCAGAATTTTGGAGTCGTGGAATTTGCACTGGGCAACGAGATATCTAGCGCTGGCCGTGCTTAGATGTTATTTCAATTTTGTAGGTGCGCGTGGCATTTTAAATCTGTCATCATCATGATACTTTAAATCAGGATGAGCAAATAGTTTAAAGGGCAAACCCAAAAAGCCTTTTTTACTGCATCATGCGTGCAGGACGGTGACGATCATTTGCGGTGTCCCTATTGATGTATAAAGTGTTGGAGGTACATGCATTCTAGCATATCTAGAGTAAAGTTTGGTTGATCGTTAGTAAAGTCATGTGTAAATATGCGTATATACACTGAAACAACAGTTTCACAGTCGTGCTCCTGATTTCGGTAGCTTGTGGATCTTTGTAAATCCGGGCCATTTGTAAATAATTTTACAAATGGCCCGGACTCATGTTCTTACAGTCACCGAACACTTGCGGTTAGAAACTTAAAAGGTAATGTAATACTAAATTTAAAGGTAAAGAATACTGCAAGACTACACAATTCAGTTTACTCTAACAGGTTGACTCAGAACCTACATCCACAGGAGGATAATAATTCGGCGAACAGAATGCGAAGCCGATATTCAAAGTTAACAGCTGGTAGAAATAACAATGTGTGCTCTCAATAGCGAAACCACGCTCTGACTAAACTTTTCACTACATCAGTTTAATACACTCGTTTACCCTAACTAATTCTAACTAGTCCTACTAATTTACATACTGGCGAGGAAACGTGAGGAAAATATGAGAAGATAGAAAAGGCTAACAAATTAAAATAACTACTATTAAAAGTAAATGATACCCTTAAGCTTACACACAAAATCGGGTAGGAAATAGATGAAAATTTCGTTACACAGGACTTCATAAAGGGCCCGAATAACCAATTAAAAGATTCGGCCCAGAGTGCTGTTTTTTGCCCACCGTTGCTTTAAATTATAACAAGAAACACTGAAAATAATTATTATTTTGTAATACTTACAATGCTCGTTTTCAATTGTATGATTACACAACAGTTTTAGAGACTGCAATTATTTTAAGTAGCAGATTACTTAATAAAACAATTGCTTAATTTTTGCAGATTATGTGTAACATTATGATAAATATTCAAATTATTATTCTAAATATGGTAAATCGGGTACTTAATATTTAATTTTGATTTCCAATGTTATTAGTAACATTTATTATGTTATTAATTACAGCATCACTTGTGCAAGAACGTATGCTTCCATGGTCGGTTTTCTGAAGAGAAATGGTTTGTACTTATAATACCTATAAGGTGAAAATTCTCATGCAATCAATTCGATTTTCATCACCCAGTACCAAAATAGGAATGAAATTTAATTTACATGAATTTACTCAATGAAATTTAATTTACATGAATTTATTGTAACAGTGAATGAGTTAAATTATGGATTGCCGGTAACAGCAATGACCAACCAAAGAAGACTGCTGAACGCTGATAATTCGACCTAGATTCAAATCACGGTGTGAACTGGTTGGTTGCATGCTCATATTCTATTCTTTTAGTATAACGTGAATACAAGCCACTTTCCCTTAGTGAGTCCTCCGAGGACAATCCTAGTTTTAGGCAGATAAACTTCATTAGACTGCCAATCGGAAACATTGACAAAATATAGCAAAGATTTTTTTTTAAAAATTTTAGTCATTTTCGACCTACTGGCGGCCGAATGGATAAAGGCTGATGAACATTGAAAGTTCAGGACGGGTTCAAATCTCAGAAAACAAGATTGGCTGCATGGGCACTTTTGTGGTTTTCGCTATACATGCCATGAATACGAACTAGTTTCTTAAACTCTCTCCAAAAGTATCTCTGAAACACATGCAGAGAGCTTTCGTATTATTAATATAACTAATTAAACAAACACACGTCTTTGATTTTAATTAATCCCTGCTTAGCAATAATTTACTTTTCATTTCTCCAATTTGCATGAAACGACTTATCTTAAACATTCGTTTGTTTTTGTATTATTATTATTGCAAAATATGATTTAGGCAGAGCCATAAAATTCTTCGTGCTCTTGTGTGATCACTTAGCGGAAATAGGCACTGCATATAAAAACACAGCCAGCACTTAGAAAATCTGCTCAACCATTTCACTGAATTGTTTAAAGTGGCATATTAATGTTTCTAAACATAATCGAAAATATAAAACTAATCAAAGATGCCGCTTGTAAATAACCATTACTGCCTTTCAAACATTAAGGAAAACTATGCAAATCAAAATTTCAAAGCTGCATATAAGCTGTGTTTCGTTTGGAACAGAAATCCTGTTACATGAAAGAAAGCAGGACAGCCTCGGATGATAATAATAAAAATAATAACAACACATAGACATACTACATAATCTTATATATATTTATATATATGTAAATCAGCTTTATAATTCAATTTAGCAATAGGCTTTAATTCCTCACTTTTAATTTGGGTATCTCCTTTCTAAAAATAGTAATAACTTTCCTGGACTGCGCCATTTCTACATGAATTTATGTCACATGGCTTGTGTGATGCTTATTACGTACTTAATTCGGAACTTGAACTCAAAATTTTGAAAACTGAAACATTTCTAACCTAAACCAAAACCTTCTCCTGGTAAGCACTCTATAGAATAATTCCGCACTTTAGCTTCTGTCTCTCTTCCGATTAAGACGCTATTTCCCTCGCTCTCTTCCTATAGCAGCAGTATCAAAAAGTGTAAATGTTCTTGAATAAGGCAGGATTAGTGTGTTAAATAAATTGTGGCCACAAATGTCAATTGAAATAAAAATGAAGATTTAATCTGCCTGGACTGACAAGTTTGCTGCTCATTACGGATTCAACGTTTTAAGCATTCTACGCAATGAGAATTCTTCCTCTTCATTATGGATCTACGTTCTCAGCTATCAAGTATTCTGCGTCTCTTTATAATCACTATAGTCTCACTATAATCAAGTATCTACGTCTCATTATTCCTACATCAATACTTCCTAAATTTTGTTTTTATTGCATATATATTAATATAGTACCTATAATAAACAAAAAAGAATTATTTTCCATTTGAGATCATTTCTCATAGAAATTCTGAAGTGAAATCAGGCGTCTGCATGTTTTTCTGCAGATGCCTAAATGCTCATGTAGAAATGACATTTATCCATACTAAACGGCCTTACTGCCGTATGAAGGCATTCTTTGCGAGTACATATTTCGATAACACAATTTACATATTTCAATTACACAGTTTTCATAACACAGTCCGTCAGCTCCGAACGTATTGCTTTCTGCGCTTCTCGATTATAGATCTTCAAGCGACAGATAGATGGCGCCACCAGTTAATTCTCAAACTATTAGAGCTTAAAAAAATTAGAACTAAACTTCACATACTATCTGGACAATTAGGGTTGATCAGTAATGAACATGAAAATAAACCCATAATGTGTGATCAAAAACTGAAATGCTTCTACTTCAGTATTTTCACATTACAGAGTTCTGAATTTTCCACAGAAATACTGGTACAAGTGTTCAGAGTACAATTAGTAATTACACTTCAAACTACTAAGAATGTCAACGCAATGGCAAGCGCATCTAAAAAGCGAAGCTCTCGTGGATATCTCAATACTCCGTAGTCCTTCTGAACTAACAAATAAGAGTCCCGTCTTATATGATTTTCCCCCAGTCCATAAATCTCTAGTACTTCTCGAAATCCCCCCCCAATGGCGAGCTTTGGCCACTCCTAAGGCCAGAAGTTACCTCCCATGAAGCGACAGACAATTTTACATCCATGCTTTCTCTGAGAATCGAACCCGGGCCCTTTGGTATCACAGTCAGGCTCCCCTAACAGTCTGGGCGGCTACTTCTCGAAATTACTGGATGGCATGCAAGGGCCGAATGCGGTTACAGCTACATATGAAATTAATAACAGTTATTCAATTACAATTCGCATTAGGGTGATACAGGGACAGGAGCAAAATATCGCCAAATGGTCGACAAAAATTAGTCACCAAAACCATCGCCTACTTGGAGATATCTCGCCAATTTAGCGAGGTAGCCATTTACTCAATGTTATATAGGCTTGCCTCTGTATTCTTACTTTTATGGCAGAGCATCGTCTCTTATTACCTCACTGCTAAATAGACTTGCATATTTATTCTTATTTTACCGGCAGAGTATCGTCTCTTTAGATTTTCATGTTACATTACACAGAGAAAATATAACAATTTCACTCAAATTATTTATATATGTACATAATTCGTAACAGTACCTTATCTCCGCACACTGTTTCTTTGATAAGCGATAATACAAATGACCAAACCGATCCACATGCTTTAAAATTACCATACACAGTGATATTTAGAACAAACACTACAGAGTTTAATTAATAACAGACAATATTTGCTCCAAACTGGCATACACCAGAAAGTTCACTGCAATTCCAAAGACAGCAAACCAACTTATCATTTTCGAAAGCAAATAATTCCATTTTTTACTTACTCCGTGAGCCAACAGAAATATTTTATTTACTCCGTAAACCAACAGTACCTATTTCATATAAAGTAACTAAACTATCATACTAATGAATATTGATGCTCTCTGCACATAAGGAATTAATATTCGTTGCGACTACAGATTCAGGCCTTT